ATGAGCATGGACATCCTGAGCACTCCCAGTGGAGCAGCTTTCGTTGTCACTCCAGGCTAGGCTGGACATCTTCCAGTCAGGTCACCTCCTTCCTCCAGCAGGTCTTGGTAGTCAACTGAGACTATACCTCAGGTCACCTACCTTGGTCCAGCTGTGTGAGGGAGCAAATTTGGTTTAAACCTATTTTTGCAAATCACTTTTTTCACCCCTCAAATACAGAGTTTATTTTGTGGCAGACACAGTTCTTAGCAAACCAGGCTTTCCCCCTCCCCAGAGCTCATTTTTTGATTTGAGTGGCAAATATTTATGAAGCAGAAGCTTGGCAAGCCTTCTAGGATTGATTGTAAGAGAAGAAATACAGAGAGAATTTCTGCTCTTGAGCTCTACAGATCTAGAGGCATTCCAGAGAGGGCAATTATGAGACTGCTGGATTTAAGACATTTTACTTGAGTAGAAAATCCTGTTTGTGATGTCATTAATGATAAAACATTTGAATGTTTGGACACAAACTTAGTGTCTCAAAGATTTCACACTTAGCATTGCCAGGCATTGATCTCTAAGTAGCATCAATTCCTTATAGTACCTGCCCTCTTTCCCTTCAGTTGCTGTGAGGGAGCAGCTCTTTTATGCAGCACTGAGCATGTCACTGCTCCTTGCTAAATTAGCAGCTGGAACATTCTCAATACATTTAGAAAGAAAAGACCAGCTCAAGGTTACAGCAGAGACCAACTGGCTGGTGAGCTACCAATAGACTTTCTACTTTCTGCAAAAGAAATTTGAAAGAATAAATATATCATTGTGTCAGAACAAACATGATACGTGTCTAAGATCAAAGACAGCCAGCTCCCAGGTAACATCTGATTAGTCCTCTGGGAAAAGGTTTTTGCAGTACTTAACACAAGGACTTTGAGCCTCACTGACATCTGGCTGACAAGGTTAATGGACATACATATTGTAGCTTATTTTAGTGTTACTGTGGTGAGGGAGAAGGACAAAGATATTTATTTCTCCATGAGGTTTTTACTGGAGGTGCAAAGGGCCATGCAGTCTGCTGCCCTAATCTCATTGTTTACAGAAGTTGATATGTGAACCCTATCAAAGATCGTGAAAGAAAACAAATCCAAATCTCCCTTTCTGCATGCTACAGCCCAGCCTTGTTGTAACTGAGCCCTTCTAGCAGTCTTCTCCTCTGGCACTACAGATCCAGAATAGTGTGGGGTGTTGGAAGGCATTATTCACATGTCCTACCAGCTTTGAGTAATACTGTGACTCTGGCTAAGTCCATATTGTCCTTGTATCAGGCTAACACATTATTTCCTCATTTTTATTGTTTCAGGTCTTACACAGCACACTTTTTCAGCCTTCCTCCTTCACTTTCTTTCCAACCCTTTGTTTTTCATGTGGCTTTCCATGGAGTAATTTGTTTTTTATCAATAACTATTCAGCTATGATTTGATGATTATTTTACTCCAGTAGTACATGGGTTTCCTCAAAGAAGCTTAAATTCCATGCCATTGAAATGCTATACAAAATCCATCTGTGTTGGGCAAACCAACCTTCTGGAAAAGCTCTAGGAGGAAATTATCATCTCTGTACTTGTAGATAAATTGCCACAGAGTTTGTTACTATGCCACAGCTAGGAAGGAATGCAAGAATTAGAGCAAATCATGAGCATCTCTGTCCCTCTCTTGGGGAATTATGATATGGTCATCAGCAAGCTTGACTGTTCATTTGTGTAACAGTGGGAAATTGCTGCAACACAGGAATCAGTGTGAGAAAGTTCAGTGTGAGATCTTATGGAAGGTATTTATTTACAGAATCTTTAAGCAAGTTGATTTTATGCACTCACACTCATTCTGCTGTAGAGTTAATTCTCTGACACTCTGATACTTGTACATTCTTGATCACCAACCCATAGAATCCCAGTGGCCTGGCCAGGATCCCTTGAGCTCGACACAAAGGAACGGGAATGCTGCTGCCACACCCTCACTACAAGCCCTTGACTAGGGACAACAAAGTGGTTTCTGGACAGATCTGTCATTTCCCTTAGGAGGCATCAGCTGGTATCTTTTACCTCAGAATCCTGTTTACTTTGTTCTCCACAAATGATAGGCCAGGATGCTGCCCATTGCCTGTTTTTCCCTGTTTTCAACACGTGTGTTTTCCAGACAGGACAACAGGAAAGGCAAGGCATATCTGACACTGCAGCCTTGGTACCATCCTCCTGGGACCAGGATCCTGGGTCTTTTGCTGACAGGTCTCTGTGTTGTGGCCGTTTTCAAAGTGCAGGTCTTTGGCCTTGACATAAACAGAGCAATTCCTGAACTTTTCTGCTGGGAATGGTTTTCTGTGTTAACAAGTGTCCATCCTTTTAACCCTTTGTTCTGCTGTCCCTGCTGCTGCCTTCGCACATTTTCATTCATTCTTAACTCCCATCATCCTTTGTTTTGCTATTACAGATCACTGCAACTGCTGTAGACAGTCCTGATGCCCTTTTATTAGAATTCATAATCTCTCTAAAATAACTAATTTAATGTCCCCCCCATCAGTCTTTGACAGCACGCAGATGAATGCTCTGTTGAAGTGCAAATGCAGCTTGTAAATGTAATATATCATACTTGGTGAAAGAAACTTTAAATCAGGGGACACACACACTATATCCCCTCTATCTGCTGAAGCACAGACTCCTTGAAATGCCAAAATATGTGTGAAATAATGAAAACACTGGGGTGGCCAATATCAACAGCTTTAAAAATAACAAAATATATGCCTGCCAAAATAGGAATGGAAAATTGATAGTCTGTATTTCCCATGACGCGGTGGAAGATTTGCACAGACTGCTCCCACTGATGTCATGAAGTTACTGCGCTAAATTTACTGTTAGAAGGTGAAAACCAAACCATTCCTGGTTTAATATCTTTTTGCTTGTTCCCAGCAAGGGAAGTTACAGATTATTGCTGACAGGAGGCAAAATGCTGACTCTACCTTAAACCTTGAAGCTGAGGTTTGCTAGTGCTGACCAGTACTGGGTATGAAATCACGTTAGCAGTCAGTGTTAGGTGTGCAGCTACGTGACAGCAATTAGACACTTTGAAATGTAGGATAGCACAGTGAAGTCACTAATTAGTCTTTTGCAGGTAGTTATTAAAAGCTGGTCAACTGAAAACTGACCAGTAGAAGCTTGCATGCCCCTGGCTTTTAGTGTTTTTTAGCTACTCACTATTATTTGAAAGTAGAATCTTAAAACCTGTTCTTTTAGTAACCTTATTCTTCTTTCTGTAACTCGATTAACTTGTGACACTGAGGCTAAAATGTGTTTCTGTGTCAGTGACTTGCAGCACGGGCCCAGTTAAATGGGATAGCCTGAAACTCCAGCTGCATTAAAGGGGAGAACAAAATTGCAAATGCATGATGCTGTACCTTAGAGAGAACAGAACTTTACTGATCCAGCACTTTACCCTATGAGTTCTAATGCAGAGGAATGTTTTCTAGGCACAGGTATTTGGACACCCAAGAGGACTGGAAGTTGCAAGGCTGGATTTATTAGAGCTGGAAATAAATTTTGCACAAGATAGAATTGGCTTTTTTTCCCCCTAACATTGAGATCTAATAAAAATGGAAGTTAAATATGGTTAAGATGCCACAGAAGAATGCAGTGAGAGATGCCACACACTGTCCTATGTACAATCTTAATGCAGAATCCTTGTTTGTGATCTAGCATGCAAACACAGAGCCATGGTCTGTGACTATTTTTGTAACCACACCCTTTTTGTATTTTTCAGAGCTTGGACTGGACTCTGGTACAACATTCACCACAACTGTACAGAAGTGTATGAAAACATTTTTTAAAAAAATTCATTGTAGAAATTTGAGTCAGAAAAATCAGGACTATCTGTTCCTGCTTCTACCATAGAACTCCTATGTATCAATCTAATTATTCCAATCAAAGTGCTCCTAATTTTCTAATGTCAAATATTTGCATAAGTAGTTCTAGGTAGCTGAAATGCTGAGGACTTCAAAGCTGCAGCTGAAGTTTCCTATATGTGTCTATACATTATATCCTCAGAAATGGTGCTGGTATTGATATCCAAGCTGGCTCATTTTCAATTAATTCTGATAAACCTGCAGTTCTATGTACATTTATATACATATAATGTAGAAGTGTCTATACACATGTACACAGAATCATAGAGTTGTCTGGGTAGGAAGGGACCTTAAAGACCATCTTGTTCCAACCCTCCTGCCATGGGCAGAGACACCTTTCACTAGACCAGGTTACTCAGAACCCCATCCAACCTGATCTTAAACACTTCCACGGATGGGGCATCCACAACTTATCTGCGCAAACCGTTCCAGTGCCTCACCACCCTCACAGCAAAGAATTTTTTCCTAATATCTAATGTAAGCCTACTCTGTCAGTTTGAATCCATTCCCTCTTGTCCTGTCACTACATGCAATCTCCATCTGTCCTGTAGGCTCCCTTCAGGTGCTGAAAGGCCACAATTAGGTCACCCTGAAGCCTTCCCCTCTCTAGGCTGAACAATCCCAATTCTCTTAATCTTTCCTTGTAGGAGATGTGTTCTATCCCTCTAATTATCTTGGTGCCTCCTCTGGACTTGTTCCAACAGATTCAGGTCCTTCCTGCACTCAGGACCCCAGCGCTGGATGCTGTACATGTATGTGTGTGAGCTGCAGGTTTTGACAAGTGGGTTTGGGTACCAGTAGCATTCCTGTGGTAAGCACAATCTTCCCTGTCAGTTATAAACCAATTTCTTCAGGACAGGGACACTGGAACTTGCCAGGTAGCTGCTGAGAAATGTTTGTGCCTTAGCGTTTTCTTCAGCCTCCAGAAATGCTGGTTACTCTGCAAGTCTTGAAGGCTTTCTCTGTCAACTGAGAATGCCCTTTCTGAGAGGGAAGAATACAGCCTTATCAGAAAATTGATTACATGTATTTGCTTAAGACTCCCATGTTACAGTAAGATGCCCACGAAATGACCACAGAGAAATAGTTTTATTCAGTGCACTTAAAGTGAAACAAACAGTAGTTTGGAAAAGGCATTGTAACCACTTGGCCATTACACAGTGAACATGGCAAGTACTGAATTTACTATAAAAGTATCCACCAACTAGACAAGCAGAAAGAAAAAATATGACTCCCCCCTTCTCCCCCCATCCCAGTGTGAACAAGGTTAAGAAGCATTTGTGCAAATGGATATATTTCTGGCTTGGAGCCAACTGGGGAGAGAAAGCAATTGCTATAGATAGAATTCCAGAAGGTGTAACAGAAGTTGCAGCAGGCTGTTGGAGGCTGAAGTATGTCAAGAATGAGGTTAGCAATTAGTAATTCCAGAGACTTTATTTAAGTGGAGTCTGCTCACAGGTAGCAGACTCCACAGAATTCTAAACATGGAAGCAGTTGCTGGTGTTCTTTCTACTACTTGAGACAGAAAGTATAAACATTTTAAATTTACTAAGAGTAGGACACTTCAACACGGGTCCTGGCCACTTGACAGCAGCAGGCTTTAAATTCCATAGATGTAGAAGTATCTTTTCCTTGTCATTAAAACTCTCACCTCAGAAGGAACATTACCAGAGGAAATGATCTTGATCAAATATGTATTTTATACATGGCATGTTCCATTTTTTAAAAATCCAAAATTAAGTTTACTTTTCCAATAAAATACTATTGGATTTATTTTGGCACATCATGTTCTCTATTCAGACAGTACATACATCTATCTTTTATCTTCCATGTAAAGAAATACAGCTACAAGCTTTTGGTCAACCTGCTCTAATACAGTTATTTTGCCTTATTTATAACTTCCTCTGTAACTCAGCTGGGCCTGCTCAGCACAACAAACACAACTGTATGTAACAATGACGTGTTTCTGAGGAATTAATATCTTAACTGCTCCTAAATCACTAATGCTTTGAACATTTCACACATTATTTTACAAATAAAAGGGAAAGTTGGGTACAAACAAAATATACACCATCTAGGATTAGTGAAAGAAAAGATCATTATGGAGGTGGAGGTGTATACCTGTGAAGCTTACAGCAAGCAAAACCAGCCAAACCCCCAAATCTCAGACTTATTTGCCTCTAATAATGGTTAACAGTTTTCAGCAATGTATAATTAGGGATGAATAAAGTAACTTTGAGATGGAAACCACATTTCTCAAAGCAGCAGTTTTTGTTAATTGAATTGTTATCTTTCTTGCTGCTTCTGGAGCTGAGGCACTCAGTGGTTTATTATAAAAGGAGCCTGTATACAAATGCCTTCAATTGGTGGTTATTTTCAGGAGAGTTTATGTTCTGCAGAAGAGTAAATGAATCTTTTCCCTTTTGAGGTAATTGCATATTCAGGCCTCTGTGAATTATGGAAAATGAATTTGGAGGTGAGAACTTTTTGTGAGGCACAAGGTACAAGGAGAAATGACCAAGAAGATTAAAGTGGCCTCTTTTATAATATATTCTTACAAAACTTCACACAAAACTTAAAAATGTGTGAAGTCATAATGCATTCTACATAACAAGAGTTAGACACAGGCTATCATAAAGGTTTTTGGAAAGACTACAACCTAACATAATGAATAACAAATACACCTAAAAATGAGAAGTACTCGTTTTAATAATAAAATACTACTTTATAGTGGATCTTTAGGCCTTTGATCTGACTGCCACCCATCTTCTTGGGAAGAATATTCTTCTTAAGATCTACAACCTGACTGTCAGGTTGCCTGCTATTTCATCAGTGTAAGCTCCTCAGTCTCCTCAATTTGGGATCCTAGCAATCATTTCCATAATGTTTGCAAGAGTTAAAATAGTTTATGTTGCAAAGCACTGGATTAGATCTCAAAAAAAATGGACTTTATTCTTGTTTCTGTAGGTCACCCAGATGGGTAATCTGCAAGGTTACCACTCTATTCCTCGGTTTCTTTATCTGTAAAACAGCGATAATTATATTCACTGGCTTTTAACAAACATTTCAAGATATACATGGTTAGGGATTAAGCAGTGTGGATTATCCCTGATGCGTAACACACAGCTGCTAATACACTGACTTATTCACTTTCATATTAGCATCTTTATTTAAACATTTGCAAAACACTCATTTTGTCAAACAGCAACTGCAAAGAGGCTTTTATCCAGCACAAGTGTAATTAGAATAGTAGAGAAGTGATGAGACTTTGAGCTGAAGACACGATATATCTGGTATTTTAACTTCAAGTAACTGCAGTAGCAAAAAGAGTTTCCAGTTCAAGTCTGCCCTCCGCTGGCTTTACCAGAACACTGCTAATAAATTTTGGATCAATAGTGTCTTTCTGTAATGGAGTGAAGGAACTAAATTAATAGAGGCTGATACATTTATTAATTGACACCTTTATTCATTTATAAAAATTTTGTAATAGTAGTTACGTGACTTGTAATATTTTCTGAAGTCTCATCTAGGCTTCCTTGTCACATTCATGTTTCTCAGGATTTCAAAAGACCATCAGTATATCATCCATATTAGAGTCACTGGAACTAAAATACAGCATGGGAGGTATCATTCTGCATGTAGCTTTAAAGAAATTTAATAGAAAAACTACAGAAAAATATTTTGCTCGATACAATTAATGACTCAGATACTGCTGTAAGTATTAGTAAGGTCTAAAAGAGACCAGGATAAATCTGGTCTAGTACTCTGTCACTAGAAGCAGGCTGTCCCCTTAAAATATGAGAGGAAAAAAGAAGACCATTTATTACTGTGTTTATTTTAGAAAGAATTTTCCATCACAAATACCAGACACAAATAACTCATCTCTAAACTCAGGACGGCTCATTTTCCTTTCTATTTTTAAAGTAGGAAGGTAATTGGGATGTGCGGAACTATCTTATTTATACTTACTCACACAGATTCATCCAGAATGATTTCTACCCCAAGGTGACATGGGTGTCTGAAATACAAAATCTGTATAATTATGTGCTGGATGATGTGATTGAGCTGAAAAACCTCTGGTTCATATATCTTGTCATCGTCATGCTTCGTTACACATAACAGCATTTAATCTCTTGTGACTGCTACCTACATCTAAAATAAAGGAGTACAATATTGTTTCTTCAGATGTGTACTTAATATACACTTGGAAAAAAGGGAAAATATAAAAGTATTACAGAAATGGCATTTTATTTGGACCATTTAAATGCTTGGAAATCAGTGTCAGATTCACAGCTTGTGCCAAATGTGCCTAATAGACTTTATAAAGCAGAACATAAGCAATTTTCACAAGTTCCTTGAATGTCCTCTGAATCTGCTAAAATTCTTCCTGAAATGGTTCTCATTCAAAAATGAAACCTTTAGGAGTCCATTAACATTTTACAAGAAGCAGTGAAAGGCACACAACTAATCTGCTGTTATGGGTTTGAGGTTGCTTGGTTTGTTTGTTGATTTTCTTTTTTCTTTTTTGTTTTTTGCTATAGGCAGGAAGCTCTCGAAAAGCTACTGAAATCTCATTAATCACTGCAGTGCCTACTGCTACACATCACCCTCTTAAACTGGACTCTAGCATCTAAAATTACTAAAATGCAGTTGTTCTGCACTTCTAGGAGAATAAAGTTTGAGATTTTTAATAATCCTAACTGAAAAGCAGCAGCAGTGGTTGAAATACTGATAGGTATTTCCCTGAAAGATCATTTGTTTTCTGTGCAACAGTGGAAAGAGTCTTAGATGAACTTACAGGCACGTGAATCAGGCTGACAATATATAGAGAAGACACAGTAGTGTGTCTACTTGACAATGTTTTGAAATTAGTAAAATCTAAAAACATTTGTCTGGGCTAAATATGTCATATCACTCCACTAAAACAGACAAAGTATGGACAGAAATTGTGTAAGAAAGGCAAAGGGGAAGCACTTTAAGAGACTAAGTCTTATTTTAGTAGGATAGGAAAAACTTCATTAACCATGAGTTGTGCTTCATTTAATCTTGATAGCAGCAGATGAGACTTGGAAAGAAAGAAAAGAACTTTCCTTGATCACCTTCTGGTATCTAGGAAAGGCCTTAATTACTCTTCATTATGATACTAAATTACTGATTCTAATCTTCCATGTGCTGGAGATCTTAAAGAATTTGCAGTGAAATCTGAACTACTGGAATGCAAAAACTAAAGACAGACATAAACGTTGATACTTTCCTCTGTGCTGGTAGAGTTTCCAGTTTGTGAAAGGCAGCTCTTGCTCAGGAAGCTCAGGCAGCACGGGGCTCTGCCAGGGGATGTGTGAGCTGCTCCTCACCTTGCTGGGCATGGTTAGGCCCTGCTGAATTAGGAATATGATAATAGGTTTGTCCTTAAGTTTCTGAAGTCAAATCACCCAAAGTGAACAATGAAGATAAATTAATACCTATGTTCAGTTTAAATAATTAGTTCAACATTTAGATTTACTACAAATTATTCTATTTGTTCACACACATGACTCATTTTCTTTGTTGACTGGGCAGTCTTATTCAAGATCTGAAAATACACATATTTTTACCTTTCCTTTTATGATCTGGACTACGTAATTTGCATTACAGGTTGTTAAAAACTATAATAATGACAGCACTAGATTGTGCTATGCTTTTAATTCTATTAAAATAAAAGCTATACTGAATTAAACTTTAATTTACACTTCAAAAAAAAATTTAGTTTCAACAAACACCCTTCTTGTATTGGAAGTTAGTTACAACAAAAAATTATACTTAAGGATATATACAGTAACTGAAATTACATATAATTTGTTTTACTGGGACTTAAGACAAAACCCAGAACAAACTGGCAAAAAACCCACACCGACCTGTTTCAGGTCTACCTGGCATATTTCAACTCAGAGTTCTTCTTTTTGCTTTACTGCATGTTTTCTCTTAGCTTACAACCAGAGTTAATTAGTAGCTTGTTGTACACCTTTCTCTTGCAAAATCTGAGCGTGCATATGAAAGCTGTATTTGTACATCAGTGAAGCAAGTGCTGTGCATCAATCAGTTATATTTTCAAATATTGCACCGTCAGAAAAAGTTGTTTCAGCAGCACTTTTTTTGTAGTTGGATGCTAAGAAAGACTATTAACACTCATTGACGAGAGAAAGCAGAATATGACTTATAGTTAGAATCATTATTTTTCAAATGCTGCAATTCTATGTCCTGTATCAGAGAGGAATACTTCACTTTTCTCTGCAAAGACTTATGTTATCAGTTTCATGGTTGCTTCACCACTTTACAATTTATTAAGGTTGGAATTGATATAAAGGCAAGTATATAAGCAAAGACTTTGGAAAATCAGAATACATTATTTGTTTTCCTCACCTTGTTTAAATCAGTAAAATAGTAAAAATATGCCTAAAATAAGCATATTTTAAGTCCTTTAAAATCTTTTTATAGAATACATTATTTGTTTTCCTCACCTTGTTTAAATCACAGTAAAAATTTGCCTAAAATAAGCATCTTTTAAGTACTTTAAAATCTTTATAAATATGTGCTGTTAAAACAACATATTCTTCAGCAACAAAAATCTATTTGAGATCTGTCTACAAAGAAAAGGTTTACATTAATAAAACACCTTTAGAGGAAAATCCTCCTAGAGTTATCAAAACCTTTGCTGCTCAGCTGCTTAAAAAAGAGCTTAATTAAAAAAAAACAATTAATGAGTAAATATGGGTATTAATTTTGGCCTCAGAAAATCCTTTTATCCATCAGATTTTTGCGTATCATTGAAAGTATGTAAGGAATCAGATTATTGTTTTCATCCTTGGCCAAATATTGCAATCACAAAAACATGCACTGAAGAACTGTTGCACTTTTAGAAAAACTACATATGGTAAAAGGTAGCAGCATGTCTAAGTGTAACATTTAATTTTCATTATTAAGCAAAGATGTGCAGAATGGGAAAGTCACGCTTCAAACAACACTATAGTTCTGAAGCAGGTAATATTCAATTTTTAAGCACATCAACAGTTCTTCTCAGAGGTCTCTAAAAGCTTTTGATGAGGTTCTTTCAATGCTGTCTCACCTCAGACTGCTGTTTCTCCTTCCCTGGACTCCGAAGCTGTAATGAAAAATAATGAAATTATAACTCCATGTCACCACTCAGTTTTGGTTTAAGTAAATAAATTGTACAGTTACTGTAATAAATATACAAAATTACTACACTTTGCTGTTTGTTCCTGCCACTCTGATCATTCTACTAATTTTCAGCAATTTTCAGCCAGCAGCCAAGCCCCACACAGCCACCTGCTCACTATGCCTCACAAACACTGGGATCAGGAGAAATTCAGAAAAGTGAAAGCCAGAAAACTCATGGGTTGAGATAAAGACAAGTTAACAGGGAAAGCAAAAGCTGTGCACACAAGCAAAGCAAAACAAGGAATTAATTCATTGCTGCCCATGGGCAGGCCATCCCCAGGAGAGCAGGGCCCCATCACATCTAACAGTTACTTGGGAAGACAAACACCATCACCCAAAATGTCTCCCCTTCCTCCTTCTTCCCTCCACTTTATATACAGAGCACGATGTCCCATGGTCTGGAATATCCTTTTGGTCAGCTGGGGTCACCTGTCCTGGCTGTGTCTCCTCCCAGCCTCTCATGCATCCCCAGACCCCACACCAGCATGGCAGTACAAAAGGCAGAAAAGGCCTTGGCTCTGTGTGAGCCCTGCTCAGCAATAACAGAACTTCTCTATATTATCAACACTGTGTTCAGCATGAGTAGAAAATACAGCCCCATAGCAGCCACCATGAAGAAAATTAACTCTACCCCAGCTGAAACCTGCACAGCAACTGACAATATCACTTTTCTTGGAAATATCCCATATCAGACAGTGACCAGAGTATATCCAACAAGTATCATATAGAAAATCATAAGAAGATTCTAATTTGGACAGAAAATTTTTATATGCATTACAGCTCTGCTTTCCAAGCATGTTTGGAAACTATGCCAAATGCAGGAACTCAAATATACTCACCCCAAACTAATCTAGGTCTCAATAACATTCAGGAGACATTTTAGAATTGTGCTTATTTTGCACATGACCTAACTGGACAGCCTAAGTCTTTGCTCTTTTAACCATAGTACTTTCCATTTCTCTTTGTCTCTGTCTTTTCTTGTCTTTGTGAAATGAAAAGGAACATTTCCTATATCAGTGGTACTGCAGAGAAGCAGGGATTTATTAGACTAAATGAACAGGAATACTAAAATGGAATAGAAGGTACATCATTATTAGGGCACAATAAAAATAGGAAGTTTAGTTGTAACAATGAAGTGAAATAGAATGCCTAGTCATAATATACTACTGTTTTTACTGACATCATAAAGATTCAGCCTGCAGTGGAAATCTGTTGAAAAGTTCTTCCTTATTTCTTGTGCTATTTATACTGATTTATGGTATAATACTGAAGTATGAAGCATCCACCATAGTCTTTGAAATCTAAGTTCCTCCTAAATAGGGTCAAACTCAAACTTTGTTCCCAAGCAGATGAATTTAATGCAACTTCTTGTCAGTAAATTGGGGAAATCTCAAAAGTGAGACTGGTAAATGCATAATGGAGGCCTGCAGGGATTTCCTACAAAGTTTACAGTGATTTTTCACAGACTTCAGTGTGTCACTGCACTTTGTCTCCTTCATCAGCCTCTGAGTTGCATGTACTGTTTACTGTTGCATGTAGCTTTACTTTGTGGTTTGCTGAGATAAAGCTTTAGAGGTCTGGAATTCTTTAACCTGAAGGGTATCCTTTGCACTCAAAAAGACATGTTAAAGCCATCTGATCCAGTGACATTATTCCCTGAATCTGATACTTCAGAAATTCAGCCATGTCTATGAGAATCTCAATTCCCTCATTTACCAATAAAAATGGAAATATTAGGCCATTTTACCATGAGTACTAGTGATATTTATTTGCTGTGAAAACACTTGTGGAATGATTGCTTATTGAGTTAATAAAACAGTAGGGATTCATGTTCTTGTTGTCCCAGTTGAAACCTCTGCAATTTTGTTTCTGATTTTATTGTTATTGCTGATCACATGAAGCTACAAGGCAAAATAAATTCAAAGAGATTTTTTTTTTTGTAACAAAAGACTTTCAACATCTATGGTATCACTAATTTTCTTTTGTCACTCCAGCAATTGGGGCTCTTGCTCTCCTTAGTTAATGGATACACCATTCCAAGTGGTTTTGTCTTCATTATCAGCCACAAGAAAAAAATCAAATAAAATCCTTCACAGAAGTGTTACCACAGTAACTTACAAACATGAATACTCAAAACACACCCATAAAATCCCACTTCCATCTTCCCCAGGCAGAGTCACCTCCATCTTACACTACCCATTTCTTTGGGTATCAGGTTTTCTCCCTTCAAAACAGCTCATTGTTTCATGCCCCATCACAGGCACATTTGCTTTTAGAGGCTAATTGCCAATTATTTATGTGACTAGTGCAATCCCATGAACTTGCAGGGAGGATGACTGCTGCTCTCCTTCCCCCTTGTCTGAGTGAGCAGATCACCGAAGGACTCTTAGACTGTCTAACATCCTGGGTGACACAAGAGCCAAACAAAGGCATGGAAAACTTCTGGAGTCCACACGACCATTTACTGGGTTGGTTTTTGTTTTTTTTTTATTTTGGTGGATTTGTTTTTTTGGTGTTTTGTGGGTTTGTTGGTTGGCTGTCTAGCTAGTTGAGGTCTTTTAGTGCAAATATGTTATGTTGGACAGTTTGAGACTATGGATGTGTGTTATGATGAAATAAGTGCTCTTCTCCAGTCAAAATTCTTAGTTTACAGACATCCTTTCACAGCTTCAGTACATAAGACTATGTAGATCCAGACCGGTAACTACACAGAATCAACACTGGTTTATCTGCATACCAACACACACCCTTGTGCTCTTCTAGCACCGATTTTGCTTGTGAGAAAACTGGCAAAGTAATACTAACTTTCTTGCTATTAATTTCCTGTCTTCTGTAGTTAATGAAATAGCCTGCAAGCTTTTAGTCAAACATTCAAATTGGCAGACATGAGAAATAGGAGCTAACATGTTTCTGTGCTCTGAAAATTACTTCTTGACTCAAAGTGTGACGGGAAGAAGAGAAGATCTGGCACATGTGGCACACTTTGGTGAGTATCCTTTCTCAAGAACACCCACAATAACATTATATGCACTGTGTCATGTGATACTGTTAAACCAATTCTCCAAGGAGACAGAGCAACAGTTCAACCCTTCCTATCAGGTGATCTGTACATTCGACCTTCTGAATCCCACTTGCACTAAAATTACAGGAAGGAAAAATACCTTTTGAATTCCATTTCACCACAGTGGGTCATATTTTATTGCCATATTTTGTAAGAGATTATTAATAAGCTGTGTGCTGTAATAAACGGTTGGTTTTGTACGTTTAGAAAGAATGAGGTGTAACAGTAACCACAGTGTGAAAACACATCTTACTTGGCCTCATCTACAAAGGAAAACCAATTTAATACGAACTGCTGAAAAATAGGTTCCTGCAAGTCAAAAAACCAGGTTCAATGGTTTGCGTTTTCTTTTGAGTGTGACAAGCCATTACTGATTACTGAATGTGCCTCTTGCATTACACTGGTTCATAAGAGTAAATTTGTAATTTTGAAAGTTTGTACAATTCTACTTATGCATAGTAATTTGAAAAGTTTGACAAGATATACCAAAAATACTGAAATCCAACACAAACCTATGGATAGAAAGACTCGTTCTCTCAATTTTCAGTTAGAATTCCTAGAATTTCCCCACCAAAGGCATATTCTTTTGGGAAAGGTGTAGGCTTATAGTCCTATGAACTTCATATTGATGTTCATGTTGAATACAGACAGCACTAGTGCCTAACTTTTCCATAGGGCTAAGTTATTCAGACACTCACAAAATCTAAGCCTCTATTTTACTTGTCAGATATCATTAAATGTGTCAGTCCTATGACCAGAAATATGGGTGTATCCCATATTTAATGTGTATGGAAGCACAGGGCACTGGGCTGGTGTAGAGCAGGAAAGGCTGTGCATTCTGTAACATGACTGCACGTTTGTGCCATGACCTCACCAAAATATTCTTTCATCCCCCATACTTTCATAATTGAGAGACCATGGCAAAAGCAAGCCATGGGCTGCCAGAACCCCTCATGTTGCCTGCAGTTTGCTACCTGCCTGTACCTGGAGGGCAAGTAGTGAGCTAAAATCTCCTATTTTTATCATCTTCAAATGGCAGAACAGGCACCCACACACTGGAAGAGTAAATGGTATATATGAATAAGCAAGATTTATTATATCCCTGGATTTTTTCTTGTCTCTAAAAAGCACTGACTTGCTGTTAGTGTGACAAAATGGCTACAGAACTTCAAGTAACTGCTGTAGGCAAACCAATATATGACATACAAAACATTGCTACAGGTAGCAGACATGATACAGCCTGATGGTGTTAGCTGCTGCAACTGCATTAGTAATAGCAGAACCTGAAGACCTGCATCTGGCTTGGATCTGGCATTACAGCAAAAGGCAGGAGGTTACCTGAGAAAGAATGAGAACATGGTAAAAACATGATATAAATGATTGAGTCAAAGGCATAGACACGACACAGCAAGATGTCATGTAAGTTGTATCAAGTAAACAGTAGCTTGGTGGTTAGGGCACTGCATGGACAGAGGTCACTCATTTATTAGTTAAAAACCAAAATGCCTTAGTGCTTATCTGGGCTCTGAGGTTTTTTAGGACAACAAGCTCCAAGTGCTGTACTGGCAGTTTTTAGGTATCAGGTCTCTCCCCATATTTCTAGGCAAGTTTTCACCCCCTGAACTCCTTGTTTCCATGGATTGGATATATCACACAGCCTGGTATCAAAGATCACAGAACATCCTGAGTTGGAGGGGACCCACAAGGATCATCGAAGTCTTAACTCCTGGCCCTGCACAGGGCATGCCAAGAGTCACACCATGTGCCTGAGAGCACTGTCCAAACACTTCTTGAGCTCTGTTATGTTCGTGCTGTGACCACCTCCCTGGAGAACCTGTTCCAGTGCCCAGCCACCCCCTTGGTGAAGAACCTTTTTCTAACATCAAGCCTAAACATTCCTTGACACAGCCTCATGGAGAGCTTCATGGAGAGGCATTTCCAGTTTCCTCCAGGAACACCTTTTCTTATCACTCCATCTCTACCCTCCACTTACCAAAGGCACTTCCTACCCTGCAGAGGCGGCGTGTGAGCAACACCTCGAGAGCTCCGGGGAAGAACAAGCACAAGAGCGCGGCAGGAGCCAAGGCGGGCAGGGAAACCCACAGCGCCTGTAGCCCCCGCGCCCCCCCACAGCCGCCAGCCCCGCTGGGCTGATCCCGATCCCGCTGCCGATCCCTCAGCCTGCGGCGCTGGAAGGCGGGCGGGACAAGCCCGCTGGGGTCGTGGCGGGCAGAGAACACCCGGCGGACGCCTGCAGCCGCCATTTCCTCGGCCGCCCGAGGGGACGGTCAGCCCCCGTCCCCGCCCCGCAGCCCAGCGATGGGTCCCGCCCAGCGCACGGCGCTGTTACGAGCGCGGCTGCGCTCCTCCTCCATCTCCTCCTCTTCCTCCTCCTCTCTGCCCCGCCGCCGGGATGCCGAAGCTTAGCAAGGAGGCCAAGCAGCGGCTACAGCAGCTCTTCAAGGGCGGCCAGTTCGCCATCCGCTGGGGCTTCATCCCCGTAGTGCTCTATCTCGGTCAGTGCCGGGCGGGGGACGCGCGGGGGCCCTCGGCGGCCATTGCCGAGGCCGGGTCTGGGGTGGCCGGCTCCGATGGCCGCCCTCCTCCCCCTGGCCCGTCCGGACGCTGCCGGGGAGCAGCGGGGCCGAGGGAAGGACCCGGGGGCCCAGGGCCGCCCCGCCGCGCTGCCCTCGCCGCCCGCGGCCATCGTCGCGCATGTGCGGAGGGGAGGCGGGGTTGCCCTTGGCAGAACTGAGACGGGGTGGCTTTTTTGTTATAGTTGGTTTTTTTGTTTGTGTGTTTGTATGGTTTTTATTTGTTTTCCCCCTTTTTTTGTAAAGAAGAAGTATTTGATCTTCCCCACTCTACTCGGCCCTAGCGAGGCCACATCTGGAGTGCTGTGGAGTTCTGGGCTCCTCAGTACAGGAAAGATGAGGAGCTCCTGGAGCGGGTCCAGCACAAGGCCACGAAGATGATTAAGGGACTGAAACATCTCTCCTATGAGCAGAGATTGCGGGTGCTGGGCCAGTTTAGTCCAGAGAAGAGAAGGCTGGGAGGGGATCATTAAAGCATACAAATATCTTAAAGGCAAGTGCCAAGAGATTGGAGGCAGACTCTTTAATGGTGTGCAGGTACAGGATGGGGAGCAATGACCATAAACTGTAACACAGGAATTTCCACCTCAACATGAGGAAGAAGTTCTTCACATTGAGGGTGGCAAAGCACTGGAACAGGCTGCACGGGGAGGTCGTGAAGACATTCAAAACCCAGCTAGACACATTCCTGTGTCACCTGCTCTAGGTGACCCTGCCTGGGCAGGGGTGGACTAGGGAATCTCCAGAGGTCCCTTCCAACCCTAACGATTCTGTGGTTCTGTTATAAAGAGGTTTTTGCCTCTTTTCCTCCCTGGAGGATAATCCTGTGTGAGTGCCCCTCTGGGGAGTGGGCAGAGCACCGAAGCAGCCAAACAGTAAATGGGGCTGCCATTTAACCCTGTGTCCGTGACTGCCTGCTGTCGTAGTCAAGGCTGTGCTTTGTGCTCTGGGGAGTCTGTGGTGAGCAGAACGCTGGGAGCTCTGCTTCATGGCACTGAGGACATCGCCAGCCTCTGGCTGAGATTGACTTTCCAGCAACAGGAATACAGGTTACAGTCTCTCCCTCCAAAAATAGTGTGGCTCCTGTTTCCAAGCTGCTGTGGAATGTTAAGGGGATGCCTTGATGTTGTGCTGGTGCCCAGGATATATTTTCCTTGCTCCTGTCATCAGGCTGGCCGGGCATCACTACCACAGGGTAGTTCTCCTGCTGAGTTAGAGCTGTATGCCATCAGCCGTCCTTGTTAAAGAGAGGTCGGACACTTTTGTTCACTTTTCTTTATAACGGGGGGCCCAGGAAGGCTGATCCCTGCAATTCATTTGGCTTACTTTCTGTTGGGCCTTTTGGGAAAAGCACCTAAACCAGGCAGGCATCTTTGCACTGAATGCAAACATGAAGGAGGGCTGGGATCTTGATCCAGTCAAATCTGAGAGGTTATTTTGATTAATTGAAGGGAGTGCAGTGCCTGGTTTGAAGGGGTTTGATTGTTTATAGATAATAACTGGGAAAATGTTAGTCTCTTCAGCTGTTACAGATGTGCTTTAACAACTGCAAGCAAAAGAAGTCACTTCAAAAACTATGGAAAAAGCTAATTAGCATTATTAGGTCTTAACTTTAATTGCATTTACATTTTCAGATTATAAATTATTTTAAATTAGTAAGTTTTGGGTGGAATTTCAGTAGTGTTTTGTGACCTGATTGGTTGTTGAAGTTTTCTTTAGATTTTACTTCCATGACAGTGTCTGTGGATGTTGGAAAGATGGTCTTTCTTCTTGGTGACATCAGAGTGTCACACTAGTGACACTAGTAAGTTACATTGGTGACATTAAATGAGTTACTTCAAATTGTATAAAGCCACTTAGTTACTTACTGTATTTACAGTTGCACTAACATCAGGGTACCTAGTATATTTTTTGTTATGTAGCAGTGAGAAATTTAAGCTGTAGTAGTTTAGGTTCATATCTCCAGAAAATAAGTGTGCTGTACCACATCTACATTGCCTTCTTGTAAATTTATCTGCAGTAATGAAAGTATAAGCAGATGGGAAGGGGAAGTGCGGATGCCACCTTGTTTGCCATAGACGTTTGGAGGTGGCATGTACTCAGAGTCTGCAGGATTGGAAGAACCTCTTCTCTGCTAGGATTACTTTTTAATCTGGGAGGGAAGGTGTGACCCCGTGTGTATCAAATACATGCTGAACTAAAAATAGGCAAGGAATTGGTCAGCAAATTTGAGCCTGTAGCTTTCTCTGTAAGGCTTTCTAGCTCAGGCATGTACAAGGAACCCAGTATGAGAATGTGCAGTTATGGGTCATTGGTGGTGTTTTGTTGTATTTTTTTTAGACTTTCTTTAAAGTGGCTGTCCTGGTTTTAAGTCAGTAAATTAGACCAATGCAGTTATGTCAACCGTGGTTTGCTTATTTAAAATTACTGGGGGTGAGGGGAGGAGGGAGAAACATTCACAGACACAGAGTGTGGCTGCAATTGATGAATTTTTAAGCTGGGTTGCTGGACAGCATGGCAGCCAAAGCACTTAGGTCAGGATGTCTAGTAGTCTCAGATCATTCAGGGTTATCTTCAAAGAGCTTTTCCAGTGCCTGTGAAGTTAATGGAAGTTTTTCCATTAACCTTTGTGGCCTGTGTTTCAGGCAACATGACATTAATTATTTATTTTCTGTAAACGAGGGAAATAATATACTTTTCCTGAAACATTCACTTCTAGATAGCCAGTGTAATGTTGAACAGTGCCTGAATTGCATGATTCTTTTTCAAGACTTTTATTTTACAGTCCAGAGAGCAAAGGTACTTCATATACTAAACCTTCAGCTGCTTCCCTAGTATACATATACTTTAGTCAATTGGTAAATTTGAGTCATTGGGAGCTGGGGATGAACTCTTTGTAGTTAGCTTTCATTTCATTTTCTCGGGTATTAAAAAACAGCTTGTTGGTTTGCAGGCTTTAATTGTATGTATTGGTTTGCAGGCTTTAATTGTATGTAACTTTCTCCAAAGAGTGCCAATCAGAATAAAAGATTTGAGGTTAAATTGATTTAACACTTAGCATTCTGTCATGCTAAATTGGGTGAACTGCTTCTTAAATACTTCTTTTGTGTGTCAGATGTCATTGTAGAGTTGTCTGCTAGGCCTCAAGGTGCTTACTCTACACCAGTTTTAGGTGTCTTTGTTGGTAGAGCCCTGCTAGGTTGCTTTCTGAACAACATTTAACATCTGTGGGTTTGTGTGTGTAAAAGTATGTATGTCTTGATCTCTGGCATAGATGACTTCCTTCATCTCATGCATTTAGGTGATCCTGAATTTAAGGTCAGATAAAGATGCAGGTAAGACTTTTTAAAAAAAGAAAAATGTACACTGATATTTATTTTCTTTGCTTTCTAACCCTTGTAAAAATGTGCATTTTTTTATTCAGGTTAGTGCACAGCTGAATCACAGTTCTCTGTTCAGTAGTTTTCTTTCTTATTGCTATTTAATGGGCTGAAATAACCTCATAGAGATTTAACTGTGTAGGAATCTGCACATACTTCTTTATTTTTATATATGTAATGTAATGTATGTTTCACTTCAGGTTTTAAAAGAGGTGCAGATCCTGGAATGCCTGAGCCAACTATCTGGAGGTATGTATTGGTTCCAAATGTACGTACAAACCCAGTGCAGATAGTTACTGGTTTGGGTGTTACCTCTAGCCAGCAACAGTTGTGAATGATGCTTCCATCCCTTGTTTTTTATTTTTGTGGTTCTTGTTTCTTTGGAAATTCACATGACAAATTAGCGAAGTTCTAGTTCTTGGGAAGACTTTTCTCTTAATCTTGCATAGTTTTTACGATATGGAACTTCCTGTGTCTTTTGCATGACAGCGGCCCTTCTAATCTGTTGTAGAGCTAGTTTGTACAAGTTTCTGCACTGAACAATAACTTCTCAGATTTCTAGCACAAATTGAAACCAAAATCTAATCTCCTTCTGCCTTTGCAAATGAGGGAATAACACTGCATAAAAGGTGCATGAAATAAAGGGCTGTATCTTTCAGTATTAGTCACTGTCATGAGCCAAAGTGGCTTTGGTTCATGTTGCCTCGTTCTTGTGGGGCTCTTTGTTATGCTGCATTGTTACGGCATTAGTAATGCTTATGTTCTAGTGACATTTAAGTGTTATTGAAGGGCTTCCTTGGGTCTAACTGATTAAAGTTTTGGAGAGAGGGTGGTTCTTCTGTTTTTCAAGAAATGCCTTTGATTACTGTGCAGGACCAGGTATTCCTAAAACAAATAATTGATGGACTGTATTGTTTGCAAAGTCATAGATTAACTCTTTTTGATTTACATAGTTACAGTGATAGAAATCCCATTTTTAGGATTCAGTGATTCAGTAGAAAATGTGGGAAAAAAGTAGTAAGATCATATTACAATTTCAGTGGAATCTACTGTTGTCTTAATAACCAAGTCGCTGCAGTTGTTTGCTTGCTGACAGTGTTTCTATGTTTAGCTTCACTGGTGGTTTGAGACTTCTTATTTTGGTGTGCATCTGTACAGTGTAAAAGATGTGCTTTATACCAGAGTATATGTGTGTAGATACTATGAACAGATGTTTCATCTAATCTGAGCTTTACAGATGCTCATTTTTGTGAGCACATGGTGCTCTGTAGCCTTAAATTTTACTTTAAA